TGTGTGTGTGTGTGTGTGTGTGTGTGTGTGTGTGTGTGTGAGTGTGTGTGCTCGCGCGCAGCCTACATGTTTTTTCCCCGTTACAAATTGTTTTCAAAGAAAAGCTGCAAGTCACAGGGTGCGTGGTTGAACAGTACGAAATATCAGGTCTAGAAACATTACCAAAAAATTAAAAATTAAAAACCTAATTGTATGTGTGTGTGTGTGTATGGTGGGGTAGTAAAACTATTGAGTGAATAGACTGTAGTAACTATATAAACATGATATATGCCTATAATATAGTAGCTCAATAACCTCTTTTTGTCAGTGTTGTATATTTGTTTGTGTCGGGGACTTTATTCTTGCCGTCACAAACAACTGATGTAGCATTGTCCTTACTTGTGGTAAGGTAACCGGACTTGTAATTGTGAGGTTGCGTGTTCGGGGGTTCGAGCCGCGGGCCCGACGTTGTGTCCTTTGGAAAGGCATCCTCACGAGTTTCCTCACTTCACCAATTAGGAATGGGTACCCGGCCATAAACAGCGAAAGATCTTGTCAGTATGTCAGTGTTTTAGCGCCTATAATTGGCTGGTTGCGCTGTACGCTTCCCAGGAAGTTGAGGTTGTTTCAGAATGCTCTCAAGTCTGCTGGGGTAATAAAAATAGTAGGCTATAGATTGTGAAGAGCATAGAGCTTGCTGTTGAGCGGGAATTTGCGCTATACATGCTTTTACCTACTTTTATTGTTGTTGATTGTCGCCATTGTGATTGTGGCCGTTTGAAATTCGTCAGCAATCGCGCATTGTTTATTAACTTTACTCTAGGGTCTGGGGATACTTTTCAGCAACAACTAAAGTCTTAAAGTTTTTCTCTGCTAAAGTATCTCAGACACAGAACCCCTGCCTCCCCACACGGAATGGAAAGAATGGAAAGGAAAGGCATGAAAGGGGGTTTGCTTGTGGAAATTCTTTACGCCCGCTACAGCACACGCTGTGTGTGGGCGCGCCGTTAGCTCAGTTGGTATCATGTTGGGCTACGGCTGCGGAATGCCCTTGTTCGAACCCTCAATGGAACGTACTGAACATAAGTTGTTTGGGGGAGTTTTTAAAGGCTATTGGCCAATTTAGCTCAGTCCTGTGGGAGATGGACATTGACTTCGGGGGCCCACCCTCTGAAATTACCTTACAAATTACAGTGTTGCATGAGCCGTTATACTTAGATCTAGGCTACACAATTTCACAGTTTTTCGCACGGTGAGTGGAATACTCTTCACCTGTGATAGGATTGGGCCATTATTAATATTTTAGAGCTTCGACAAATCCTTAAACAGAAAGTGAGATTTTAGAAGGGAGGGTACCGTATTAGATGTATACCTTCCTCTCTCACGCTTGTGTCTTTGAGTTTTAGCACTTCGTTGTAGTGTTCTCCGATACGATACGTTGGTTTGAGTCTAGAATGCTTTTCTTTATAACTGTTGGGATTTTTTTTTACGCCCACAGGCCAAGTTTCCCCCCAAAATTTACAGCAACATGTCATATCATTAGGTTCATAATTTTATTTTAATGATGTCATTGATTGTTTACTATACAGGATCTCTCAGAAAACCAACCATAAGTATCAAAGTCAGGAAGAGAAAACGACTCCGACAAAAACGGCGAAGAAAATTGACAAGAAAAAAGAGAAGACAAAGACGAAAACGGCGTCGACGCCAAAGACTGCAGAATGGCAAGAAAACACCAGGCATTCGGAAAAAGAACAGAAAACGACGGAGACAATCTCGGCGTAGAAAACTAAACAACCTGGGAAAAGGAGACGCCATAGGAAAATCCAAAAAGACAGGGAGAAGGAACCAGAAAGGTGTCTCCTCACAAACTAGGCCCAAACCTCCCTTTAACGCAAGTCAGGATAGTCAGTCTCAAGGGCCTAAGAGCAAGATACTAAAAAAGAAAAGAAATACATGTATCTAACATTTCAACGCGGTATAATTGATGATATTGGGTAGCACCACAAAAGTTATACTATGTCTTTATGAATTATGTTGAATTTTTCTACGTAAACAATAACTTGTAGGCTACTACCTACAGTATTCATTATGAACACGTCAAAAGGAAAATGTTGGATTAAAAGAAACTCCTAAAGACAATAACTTGTCACACTTGTTCTTCATTTTATATCGTTCTGTCCGGCTGGTTGTGGGGTCGTCGCTGAAGGGTTTGGTGGCTAACTTTCTTCATCACATCGTCTTTTCAGATATCTTAAGTTTGTTGTTTGGTTGATTACATAATACCAAAGACTGTACGCAGGATAAGTCGCTCAAGAGATCTAGGTTATGTTGTCAACATCATCGATGAGCACACTTGAAGTGTAGGAAAGAAAATTTCCATAGTCAAAATTTAAATTTCTCTCTCTCTCTCTCTCGCTCTCTCTCTCTCTCTCTCTCTCTCTCTCTCTCTCTCTCTCTCTCTCTCTCTCTCTCTCTCTCTCTCTCTCTCTCTCTCTCTCTCTCTCTCTCTCTCTCCCTTTATCTCTCTCTCTCTCTATATATATATATATAGCTCTAATTTTTTTTTTTTATTGTTAACAATTTTTTAACATTTTCTTCTTTTTTTTGGATCAGTTATTTTTGTGACATCGTGGTGAAATCCACCACTGGACAAAAATACAATGTATATAATGAAATCGAAGAAACGATATTTTCCATCCCGTTCAGCAATTTTTGTCGAATTTTTATTTATTCTTTAATATTTCTTTATTTGTTTTGTTTTGCTCAATACCTTTTATGTTCATTAAAAAAAAAAAACATTTCTTGGTGGATTTTGCTGATAAACATTGATCAAAGACTCACAAAATAATATGTAAGTTATTGTAAGTTTGCAGTTTCCAAAGACTCTGAAGCCTTGGTATCTATGCATACATGTATTATATTTGTGAAAGTTCGTCACTTTTGCCACCTAAAACTTCAGAACTACTTAACTTTCGAATTTGACAAAATTAATGGTGGTTCAGAATCATTTAAAGGGTGCACAGTTCTGTTGAGGAGCCTGAAGTCACTGTAGTTTAATTTTCAGTTTTTCATTAGTTTCGCTTTGAACTAATCTTGGGACAGTCTGTCTTCTAAGACACCATTGTAAACAAGTGACGTTTCCGTTCAATAGCCATGCGCACTGTTTCCACACCTTCGAAATTCTGGATTGTACACGCACGAAAGCGGAATAGAGAATCAATCTATAATCACTAGATCTATCTAAATCTTCTAATGTTTTGCATCTCTCATGATTTATTGCTCCATTCCAGAAGAGTATAAATATAGTAGGCCAATGACTTTCAGTTGATGTTAATGCTCCAATCATCCCTTTCAATGAAAGGGGGCCCAGCTAGATCTAGTATTATATAATCACCAAACGTTGGCGGCCATTTTCTGGCTACTTTGTTCATCTGATACCAAGCGACCCCCTACATCCTTCAAAAGAAATTTAATATCTCGACTTCTATTCAAGAAAGATGGGTATTTTTCACCAAAAGAAGGACAAATGGACAAGCTTTAAGATTAATTCAATAACTCCATATGTCCACATGTTGACGAGCGCCTGATTCCACCGCGTCGTGACATACTATTTGGTTTGTTCCAGTTTGTCCATCAATAGCATTTTTATCAGTATCAGATACAGCTGTTGCCACGTTAAAGTGACATAATATTTAAAAACAGACGTCCATGAAATCAGCGTCAGTAGTCCATATATGGACGCTCGAAAAAAGGCAGCAGTCCTTGATATTTTATATATATATATATATATATATATATATATGACTAATTTCACTAATCTCCCGCCGAGATCTTCGTTTTTAAAATATATTTGTTGGTTTCGTCTATCGAGTGCGGTTTTTTCCGGAGGGGGGGGGGGGGTTAAGCTGTGCTCCTATTACATACATTGGAAAACTTATCTCCAACAATACAAGATAACCCAATCCAGCGAGCCACCAGCGCTATTGAGTATTTAATGGCGTTTAATCACTCATGCATCTTTGGGTATCTCAAAATTTGAGAGAGGAGAGTGACCTATCATAGATCTCTAGAACATTCATTGACAACACTCATTATATCGTGTCCATTTTGAGGGCTTGTGCTCGTATCTCTTCCTTTGTCGAAACAAGTCCGTTTTCTTGAGATTTGGGTCTTAAGCTAGAGTTAGGAGAAAATGACAGGGAAAAAAGAAACAGACACTGTGCCATCAACAATAAATAATAAATAAATAAATTACACTTTTATTTGTCCCAGAAGGGCACTTTGTTTTACAATGGCAAACATACATACATAGATACATAATTATAAATGCGTAATACGTAAATACATACATGCATAAATATATATATAAATACACACTATTACACAAATACAGAACAGTTTACTAACAATGTCACTGTCGGTCGCCACTGTGCAGGGCCCTGTAATTTGAGCTAGGGTTGTCGTGTCTTGCTCAAGGACACACTCCAGTGACCACCCATCTGATCCCCGTGTCACCGACACTTGCTTGACATTTCTTGAGTCAAAACTCACTACTCACTTAGCCACTGGAGCCCCCAACAACGAATGATCAACGTATTACATGTTTCACTTTGCTACACTCTGAACTGCCGAAAGGCTAATTCAAAAGGTTTTTTGATTCGCTTTTTCTTTTGCTTATTTTGTGCAAGGGTAAAATATACGAAACATGTAAGACGATGAAGACTGAGTGTCATAGTAAAACAAACACTGGGTCGCCACCACTCAGAGAACAAGCACCGCTTCTGTCGCAAGTCCATTGTTACTTTGTTACAGATTAGGTAAACAAAACAGTGACCAGTTTTGTCACATACGATTTGTGCATGAGTTGTTGGCGGGCTTTTAAATACGTAATGACCAACGCCTACTCTAACCCTAACTCTCTAAGTTAGAGTAGGCGTTGGTAATGATGGATCACACGCGTCCCTCACCAGTAGTTGAACATTTATTGATACCCATTGGTCAACTTGGGTAAACATCCATTGGAGGGACTAACAATAACGACAGGTGAATGGATTATGACGGAGCGTCCACAGGCCAGGGGTCGATTCAAAATGTGTGACAAAACGTCTGTTGATGAGTGACCACGCCCGGCTGTCTGAAGCAGGTAAATTTGACCGTGGGTGGATAAGATAAAGGGGCCGCAGTCGTGTTGGGCAGGAGACTGTTTTGCACAGAATTACACCCCCCTCCCCCCCCCAAAAAAAAACAAAAAAAAACGCAAGGGGGAAATGGAAAGTGGCCGTTTGTACAGATGGCCGTATTATACAGGGGGCCGCCATGGCAGGTTCGACTGTAGTTGTAAAGCGTATAGAGAAGAGCGTGGATATATGCGCGGTATAAATGCAATTATGATTATGATTATGATTATTTTGATTATTATTAAATATACTATTATTACTAATATAATAATAATAATAATAATGATAATAATAATAATAATAATAATAATAATAATAATAATAATAATAATAAAATAATAATAATAATAATAATAATAATAATAATAATTGTAATTATTATGATTATTTTCATGATTGTATCAAGGGAAGATCTCTATGTCACTTGCCCGAGAATAAGTCGGTTATTTCCATTGGATACCTTTTTTTGTCCAGTGTCATGATACTGAGAGGAAAGGTAGTCACCATATATTTTGCCTAGTCCCGGAGGCACACTTTCTTTTAGTTTTAGTAAGAGTTTTACGGCGTATAAGTGCCGAAGATTAGAGATGTTACAAGAGAGTAACAAACACTAAAAAGAAGGAGGGGAGATAAAGACGATAGATGTTTGATAGGAAAGAAGGAGCAAACCACACCAGAGCACCTGCTAACCACCCACACACTTTCTTTGAAGTTTCTCCAGGCAATTTAAAAAAATATTCCAGTTTTCTAATCAAAATATAGGCCGAAGCTTGCAAATAGTAACATGTTCATAACCAACACAAATAAGAAGCATGTCAGCGACAATTAATGCTGCTAGAAATAGGCCGAACTCACAGAGACGTTCGTGGGAAAAAAGATGATCAAGTAGCCACTAAGTGAGTGCCGTACGCTGTGTGAAGAGAGTACCTCTAGTGGCCAATTCGCTTGCAGTGCAGCGGGGCAAATTTACATTAGGTTTTATAAAGACCGTGCAACTCAGACAGTTGGCGGATGGCGATGCAAAGGCGCAAATACTATGTTTATATATATATATATATATCTTTTTCATCCTACCTTGCCAAAACCTGGCGGTAAGCGGGGGCTGGGATATAACAGGTAGCGGTATAACGGGGTTTGACTGTATTCGGTATCGAATAGATAAAGTTGCCACATTTGGGGAAAGAATCATACACATACAGCCGTAGATCTAGTGCCTGTGGTCTACTTTTTATTCAATCGTTCATTCTTGTAGGTCTCACCACCCAGCAGGGAGACAATGTGACGATGTGCCAGACCAAGGTCATACTGCATGTATGTCACTGACTGGATTTACATCAACACCAACGAATCTTCAGCTTCTCCCCTCCTTTACCTCCCCCCACGGACACACCACGCAATCAAAGATATGTACTATCATTGACGCAATCAAAATTTTGGCCTTTTATATATGGGTCACATAAATGCAATTCGCGATTAATGTTGGCTGTTGTTTTACTACTGCTGGCTTTTTCCTGCTTTCTTGTCCGTTTATTCAGAGACTCTCTGGTTTGTTCTTGGGTTTTTGTCGATTGTCGGACCATTGTTATAGCCGAGTAGGCTAAGTCCGTCCGAATCCTGTTATAAAAGAACTTTTTTTTTACTATACATTATTAGAGATCGAACTCGGGGATTTATTATAATAAGCATTCTATAGCCCGAATCCTGCTATAACCGAGACAGCACTGTAAACCATTTTATTATACACTACAAAGAGCTTTTAGTTTGTTGTTTTAATAATAGAGGTTTTACGACGCTCGCAACTGCATAGGGTCATAATATGAGCGCCAAGGGGTGGATGTCAACAGAGAAGTCCTTTCAAGGAATCAGACTTACTCCGCTCACCTCTCTAGCTTCAACAGCACTAAGTCTACTTCGACTATCAAGGCACCCCGGCAGGGGCGGCTCGTGGGTCTAAAAAGTGGACGT